GCACCTTGTAATTGTGGAGAAAAAGCAGTTACATGTGTAATTTAGCAGTACTTAATCCTGCAGTCTCAATATTAATCCACCCCCCCCCTTTGGGGTACATGTGTAGGCTTAATGATGCTCTCCCTGAATGAATTCTGAGAACACTGAAATAGTTGTACCGGTTTCACAATTGCACACGTAGTATGTGTAACCATTGGGGTACACATGCACAAGTGTTGCCACGGAGAAGTCATTTTTTTCAGGTGTACATCCACAAAAGCAAGGCTGCCTCGCCACCATACATGTACATGTAATTGCATTTGAGCACACTATATGGTGATGGACATCTTTGGAATATTTTTATAAATTGGAACCTTCTATGAAGTAGAAGAAAGAATCAAAGGATCACTTAATATTGCTATTTGGTATACACACTCACCGGTATATAAATCTTCTTCCCTGACAAACTTGGGAATTGTATGTTAAGGTCTCTGATTACCATTTCCCACAATGCACTGCAAAAATGGCAAAATCTTGGTGGTACACTGTGGTGTGTATCACCTGTGTATGAAACAGTGGGAATTGTGGCTAAATACACATTGTGTGCCCCTTGAATCATATCACTTCCCTTAATGATATTACTTAGAATGACATAAGCCTGTTGGTTTTGTCTTTCGTTAGAAATGTCCTTGGCATTGCTACTTGCTTAAGTGTCACAACAGGAGGCTGACCAGTACATGTACATGTAAATGACCAGGATGTTGAAAGCAGTTGATACTGGTGTTGCACATTTTCCCAATTAACCTTGGTAGGGGCACTTAATGGTCAGATAAAATAGGTAAGAATCACATAACAGTTTGTAAACAGTCAACATACCAGTACATGTACTGTGGTGTGTCTTAATCATAAGGCAAGTTTGGGCACAGACTACATGTGTAGTTCAACCAGTCTGCCAGTCTTGGATGCCAGTCTGCCAATTATTACAATCTCATTATTACTCACATTTCACCGTTGGTTGCGAATCTCATAGTGAACATGGTCATTGAAATAGTTATAGTTATTGTATAGTTATTTTCATGTAAATGGATCCTTCCCTAATGATAAATGAAATGTGTTACTGATAACCAATGGTGCAACCGTGCCCTAGAGCCTGGTCCCAGATGGTCGACTAGATAGTCCAAACCATTCATTGTTTTGGCAGTGTTAGTCAAACTTTAGTTAGCGGTAGCTATAGTCCTCACTTGAGCTAGCCCAAAGGAGCCAACTGAATCAGGTTAAAGAGTCCTTTTCTGGAACTGAATTCCTCCTCAGTGTATGAAAACTATTTGGCATCCCTTTCAGTGGAATTAATTGAAAAGTGCTTTTTTTAAAAACATTTTAAAATGTCCATATGATTCCAGACATCTGAGGGCGCTGTTGCTGTGATGTCATTCAGAGAAGATTCATCTTTTCTGTTCACATTGTGAACCTAACATTTGCCCATTGAAAATGTTTTCAAAGGAGCTTATGGCTTATTGCCTTGTTTTTACACAATAGTGAATCACTACAGAAAAGGAGATTTAGGGAAGCTACCAACTATTAAAAAACACCAACTGATCACACTTTTTAATGGCATCCACTTAAGAAAAGAAACAAATGCAAACTGCTTACCCCAGAAATTCTCTCCAAGTCTTAGATTTGTTTCCCTGTATTAAAACAGAAATGTTATGTTTGCACTTTGCAGTGTACATGTACATGCATGTGGGATCAATTGTTTCTTTTCAGGGGCTTCATCTAAAATTTCCTGGTTTGTTCCATCAGACGTGTGAATTAAGTCATAGGAAAATGCATGACCTCATGATTTGAATTTAGACCTCGATAACAGTAAAAGTATATGTCGATTTCTTTTCATTTGTTGATCTGAAGAGTTAACAAAATAACTCACTTTAGGGGTTGGATTCCATCTGTTGAATTCAGAGGGCCTGTGTCTGTTTATTTTTGTGTCCTTTTTTTATCATTCTGTAAAAATGCATTAATTTGAAGTCAGCTTTAAAACCCTCAAACTCTTATAATTTGAAGTCAGCTTGCTTGTAAGAGTTTGAGGGTTTTAAAGCAAGTTGACTTCAAATTAATTCATACTCGACCAGTAGAATAGTACATGTACACACACCCCCATGATGTCCCACATGGTGTGCAATGTAGCCTTGAACTGTACATGTATTTCCTGCAGTGGTACTTGGTATAAGACTCTTCAGTTATCAGTCAGTTATCACCACCAAACAAAAACTGTTGCTAAAATACTCATAGCTTCATCCTGGATACTTGGATCTTGTTTCTTTGTCTGATCAGAATCCTTGGTATCCGGTTATAGGCCATGCTGTCCCATGTTATATTGAATGGTTTTATTCGTGATTTTTGTGTGGTAAACGATTAACAATCACTTTCACAATAACAAGTTGTGGCATGCCAGAACTTGCCTATGAGATCATTTGATGTATTAATATGACAAATGTTTGAATTGAAGCTGAATGACAGGATGGATGTTCTGGTCTGGGATCCACTTGTTTCGATGAAAAATATTATCGCTGACAGCTATCTAACATAGTCACGGCTTCATTTGGATCCTGAAAGATTACCATTTTTGGTCTGATATCAGAAATGGACATTGTGAAATTCCTGGAAGAACCAATCATCTGAAAAATGAGATTTATCTTCTTCACGGCTCAAAGCAGTTGACATGTGTTTCAGCAATTAGGATTGGGTTTAATAATCATTTTTACTTCCATGTTTTAATAAAAGGTACTTTGGTCTTTAACGTTTTTAGCAGAAATTCGAGCAAAAAAGGGAAGGCGTGGAGATAAAGAAAGACTCAAAAATTGATCTTGATCGTGATTAGTGATAACATGAACCAGCTTTTTGAATCACTGATCACAATCTGGATCTGTGTGTGGCACAAACTGGCCCCTTTGACGACAATTCTTTTGAGCTGCTTGATTGGAACGTGCCACAAATAAAAGTTGCCAACTTCTGTTACGTATTGTTAACCTATGTTTATAACAAGAACAAATGCTCTGTTTAAATTGGCCTCATTTTTAACTGATTTCTGTTGAAGTATTCTGAGAAATCAGTGTGTTAAGAAATTTTTGTCATAGTAAATGTCGAATTTCGAATCCACATTCCAATATTGTGAAAAAAGTTTTTTTTTTCACCCTCAAAATCCCAGGCCCCAAATTATATTGTGCAATACATTGGGAAGTCCCATAGATTTTTATAAGTGTCCATGGATTGCAAAAAAAGGAATCAAAGTCCTTGATAAGCTGGTTAATGTGGTTAGCCATTCAGGAAGCATGTAGGTGTTGATGACCAACAATCTTCTTCGATATTTGTGGCTCATTTTTCCTTTCTCTGCCTGATTATACAGGACCTGACAAATGAGTCTTCGTGACCAGTGCGTTTGTCAATCCACATAAAGTTAAGGTTTCCTTATGAATGGGGGGGGTGGGAGAGTCTGGAAAAGGAAGGGCAGATTGCAAGCTAATTAATTAACCGGATCGGTCAAAGCATAAGGAAGTACCCCACTGCCGGTTTTACGCAAGTGGATGGACGTACAGCAGGGTCATGACCGGTAGCATAACAGCGGTCAGCACCAAACCATAAATGCAGCAGGAAGTGAATATTAGTGACTATCCTGGCTGTCGGAATGAAGAGCCGAGGTGGTCAGTAACAAATGTGGTCATTCTCCAAAGTTTGAAAATAATTTTTTTCCTCTTATGGTAGTGATATAGGCAATATGGTAAAGCATATTGAGATATCCGCAATTGAAACCAGTGTGTGGTACATGTACCTGGTTAACAAGCAAGCACTTGCATCTATGTAAAGATCTTTGTTGCAGTTAACCCATCTTCCAATAATCAGTCTCTTCTTAAGCAGCAATACTCGTCTAGAACTAGTATAACTACAGTACATGTACCTGTACAGAATTTTAATCACTGCCTCAAATAGATACCAGCCAGTGGGACGCAGTACACGTACGGTATCTTGCCTCAGTGAACTTCAACATGTGTCAGCTCAAGTGGAAAAGTTACATGTATGGGTATGTGGACACAAGCCAGCCCGTGGATTGGAATCACATGTGTCAGTGCTTTGTTGGAATAGTGATCTAGAACCACACAAAAGCAGTTTTATTTGTTCCTGATGAATTCTCCAATCTTCATGAAACCAACAGGAAAGCAGTATACCAACATTGAGCAATAGAGATGACAATTTGTTGCACAGTGGTCAGTGTGGGAGATTAAGTACAGAAAGATACATGTATTGTGCAACTTTTCTCTTTGCAAACTCTGAACAACACCTACCTCGGACCTAATAATAGAACTCACCCTTGAATATTTCGCAAACCGGCACGAACTTGTTCTAGCCCAACCCGATCAAAACACCACGTCGGTCAGTTCCAGCGTGTACAGTCTTTGACAACCTTCACTTCCGTCAGCTCACCAGCAGAGTTCACATGCTGATGAGATCCCATTGGCTGACAGTTACCTCACCAATGAAATTACTAACAAAATAAACAGGTAAGGCCGCGACGCACCAATAGCAAACTCCTGGAATACTTCCTGTAATCCACTGCTAAATATCTGACCGACTTCCTGTTGAAAGCTCATGCTGGCTATAAAAATCACTGGCATTGTCAAGTGGGGTTCAGTTGTTCACTGTGTTTCCGACAAACAAAGGAATTATCGTGATACCATTACGCTGAGATCTCCACTGAGTTATAAAGATGCCTAACGTTGCTGTATGCATGAGCTGTCATAGCAACAATAATAATAAGGCCGCCGAGGAGACTTTTCATTTACCAGCTTGTGACAAACGGCAGGATATACAAAGACGTGTCACCTACCCTCCATGCAAGGTTTGTAGCCCTATCTCATCTCTGATGTTATGTGTTCTTCATCTCAACACTCATTTCCGGAGGTTTTTCCAATTTTTTTTGCATGTTCCAAGATTGGACTAATCCAGGCTGTGTTTTTATTCTTAATCAATAGTCATGCTCACCATTTGGCAAGTTAGAGACGTACAAGAAAATTGGTCCACTCGGGGAGGGATCTTACGCCAAAGTATTTAAGGCAATAAGCAGGTAAGTCCACAAACCGTCATTCTGGCTCGTTATTTGCCATTTTTCCATTTTCTTTTTGCAGAATCTCTTTTGCACACACCTAAATTCTGTGGATAGTGTATGAAAAATGTACTAATGATAACAAGAAATCAGAGTTAATTAATCATGACTGAGGTCAAATCCCCTAGGGCAACTTTCTTTGCCAATGACGTTATATTTGTACATTGTGAAAAAGTAGATAATACTACCTTAGTGAAAAGGTTTGTGCACATGTATGGGAAGAAGAAAGTGTCTGTTCTTTTCTGTGGTAAAGATGAGGGCAGTGTTTGGTAACCTTGCTTGCCAAAGTACATGTAGTCAACCAGCTTTCTCTCAGGCAACTTCAATATTACCTGGTCAATGTCTCAGTCAACCAGGCAGTACTAATCACCTATAGAACAGGATTGGCATTTTTGTTGTATGTACATGAACATGTACTGTCCATCCCCAAATGGCCTGTCAGCATTTGTTGGTCAAAAACATTTAGTTTCTTTATCAACATTTTGGTCAGTCAACTATTTTTTTCTCTGGTTCACAAAGTTAGGATGTAATTTTTATTTTATTTTTTAAATTAAAAAAAAATTTGGGAGGGGGGATTCTTAGAAGGCATTTCACACTGCACCTCAATAATTCAACCTCTGCTTCAGATCTACAGGTCACCTAGATCAGTCCAGTAAGCCGCCTCATGTGTTTTTATTGAAGGATTACCATTCAGACCTATCCAAAACCCACGGGGGCTGCAAGGTTTATAAGTCATGAAATCATCCTAGCAAAGTTCTTTGAGACTGAGAAAGTATTGGTTTACTCATCATCTCAACAGACAAATTGTATAAAAGTGGCTGTCGAGAACAATTAACCTCAACTACAGTGTCTCTGGGAGAGTTTGAATTTCTATTCAGCACATCTTCCAATGATGTGAGATACGCACCTCAAAAAAACAAAAGTGGACACAGATTGACCTCCCGTAGTGCAATTTATCTGTCACCGTAGGGCCTGCTGGTATTGCCTGTATTAAGATGTGGATAAATGCATTTACATAAATTAATAAGTAATACTAATACAGTGTTAACACAGTGCCATACCAGCCACTACTGATAACTTTATAGAAGCTTATGCAAATGAGAACAGGTTTATGAGAACAACTGAGGGAAACTAAACAAAAAAGAGACCAACCAAACAGGTGTTGCTTTGAGGAGACATGTGGATGTCTGGGGACTACATGTTGGAGCCAATCTTATCGTCGATGGGAAGTCATTCCCCAATCTGGGGGCAGAGAAAGAGAACGACCTCTCTGCAACCATCCTTTGACCCTTAGGCACCATGAGCGCAAGAAGCATGAAGTAGTGTATGGTGACAGAGCTGAATATAGAGGGAAGGAAATGTAAATCTTTCTTCATTTGTGAATGATAGGGTCTTATGATTTTTTCACTGAACAGAAATTCAAGACAAGATATCTTTATGATGATAGTATTTTCTTTATCTTGTTGGCTTTCCAGTGTCAATAAACAGGTGGTGGCCCTGAAGGAGATTCGACTGCAGCAGGATGAGGGGGCGCCCTTCACTGCCATACGCGAGGCGTCGCTGCTGAAGGGGCTTAAGCATGCCAACATCGTCTGTCTGCATGACATCATCCACACCAAGACGACGCTCACGTTTGTCATTGAGTATGTGGTAAGTGGTCTTGGGTGTAATCAGTGCCTACCTTTTTGTGTATCTGGAGTAGTCTGTGGGCGTCCTCCCTAAGGATGATGGTGTGAACATGTCGTGAACTGCATTCTGACAGGTGCTGATCATCACTTACTGCAGACGTGTAGCATGCAGTCAGAGAATAGCGAAGGTGCTTAGAAAATTTGGGTTCAAGAATTACACAGTTTCTGATGTTTTTTACTGTTCTTTACTGGAATTAAAATTTGTTGTCATGGCACATTTGATGAGTTCAGACTAACTTATATTTCTGTTCTCCAAAATCTTAAAAGTATTGTGACTTTATTTTGCCATGTGTAATTTCACTGGCCATTTTTCATGTTATGCTTGCTCGTTGGCTGGTGTTTTTTAAAGTTTATTATGGTTTCTGATGTTGAACAACACGCAAGAACCTGTTTTAGTAGAAACAACAGTAAACAAACGTGATAAGGTGACTGAATGACAAGGGCCATTTTTTTCTCATCATGGCTTTAGTTTTTCTCTCCGACAATGACATTTTGGTTAATCAAGTCATGTAGTGTGCGTCCCTGCACTTAGGCAAGTAAGTGATTTCTCCTGGGCCATATTTAGAAATGTGAAAGTTCACTGCTTCAAGGGGAGCAGGGAAATAACACAAAGTGCACTTTTTTTGAAAATGTGAAAGTTCACAGTTTGGGAGGGAAGAGACAAAACAAGTTAGCAGTTGGGGAAGAGTGGTATCAATGGCAAGCAAGTAGTCCAGGTTACAGCTCAAGTTCTTTTTCAGGTAAAATGTAGGTGTGTTCTCAGGGTACGTGCTCCAAATATGCTGTTAGATTCACAAATATAGCCATGGCATGAAATGGACTTACACTTGGACTTCCGGTTCATTTATGGGTATTTTGAAATTTTGATGAATACTTGTTTTGAGGCACAAATTGAACGATGTCCTTGTATCGTTCATGCTGTGGTCAGAACAAACACCAATAAATGTTTCCAGACTCGTGTATATAGGAGCTATTGTTTTTTAGTGATTAATGCAGTGTGTAACAGTTGCTTGTGTAGTGGTGTAGTTTAAAAGAAGCCTGTATTTAACTCTCCATGGAACTTGTAGTTCCCATGTTGTCCTGGAAACCTAACCCTCCCAAATTTTTCAAAGGCCACCAGGAAGCATGAGGGAATTTACAGCAGGACCAAATGGCTTTACGCGAGGGTTGATGATACGTGTACCTGAAAGACTTAAAGTGCAAATAATGGGGCTTTGTTTTTCTTTGAAGTAGAGGATTTGGGAGCCTTTTGCGAGTTAAATTTGAACAAAATCTGATGCACTGAGTTCTTTAAATTCACGTGAACATAACAATTTGGATTCTCCATACTAAAAACACTGTTGCTATACCTCATGATTTGGGGCAAACTTTTGCAACAGTACACTGTTGCAACAGTACACTGTTTTTAATCGGTAACGAATGGCTCAAAGGAACCAGTCCATTCTAGAGATGCTGGTCGCTGTGCAAAAGCTTGCCCTGAATCATGAGGTATAGCAACAGTGTCTTTAGTCTGGGGAATCCAAATTGTTTTGTTTATGTATAATCAGATAACTTAGTGTACAAGATTTTATTCAAATTCAACTCCCTAAAGGCTTACTGCCTCATCTTTGTTTGTCTCTGTCTTTCAGCTATCTAACTGTCCGCTACGCAACTCTTATTTCTGACCTTTCACATTTGACCATCAGCACACTGACCTCAGCGCCTACCTAGAGAAGCACACCGGGGGTCTGAACCCCCACAATGTTCAGCTGTTTCTCTTCCAGCTCCTGCGTGGCTTGTCTTTTTGCCACCAGAGGCGGATACTCCACCGAGACATGAAGCCGCAGAACATCCTCATCAGCGAGATCGGGGAACTCAAGCTAGCAGACTTTGGTGAGTTCTAGTGAGAAGTGAGGTGTTACAAAAATCTATCCTGTCTTCTCTCAAAGTAGGGGCCTACTGAGTAGCTAAAATGATTCTTAAAGCTACTTGGAAGTTTTGAACAAATCGACCTGTCAGTCTACAGCAAGAACAAAACAACAGGTTTTTCAATGGTTCATTTTTTTAATTTGGCTTTGATACTGGATATGTTGCAGGTCTTGCTAGAGCCAAGTCCATTCCTAGTCACACATACTCTCATGAGGTCGTCACGTTATGGTACAGGCCGCCCGATGTTCTGCTGGGCTCCACCAACTATTCAACACAACTTGACATTTGGTGAGTCGGGGGGCTTGAGTGTTCCGTAAATGATGAAATGAATGCTCTCAAAGTTCATATAATGAGGATGTCTAGAGGATAATTTGGAGTCTTTTTAAGATGGGAAAATTTGCGAAGTATTTTACCGAATTCTGCACACTTATCCATATAGGTACATGTGTCTTTGTTTGACAGTTAGCATACATGTACATGTAGATGTGGTAGGCTGTAGTGCAAGGCTATCTCTTGTATACAACCCTGTTAAGAACATCTTTAACTTCCCAGTCAATTTGAATATTTTCTGTTTCTAGGCCAAATTATATGTGAAGTAGTGTGAGCTTTGAAATTGTTGTGTCAGAAATGGACGTTTTTCGTTTTTCTTTTCAGTTTGCTTGCCTCAAAATTATTAGCATGTAATGAATAAATAAAAGTTCAATATTTTGGATTGCTTGCAGGGGTGTGGGTTGTATATTTGTCGAGATGTTGAGAGGTCACCCAGCCTTTCCAGGAATGAAAGATTACAAAGACCAGCTGGAAAGAATATTCAAGGTAGGTCCTTGCGAGATTATGACACCCTTTAAAATATTCCTCCATTAATTTCAATGCCGAGTTACTGGTGCCCACTGTGTTACTTGTGCCTTTGTTTTATAATTACATTGAGTTCAGTTTTCACTTCTTGTCTCTTGTTCACTTCCCAATTTGTAGGTTTTGGGGACCCCAACCGAAGAGACATGGCCCGGGGTGTCAAGACTGCCAAATTACAAGACAGGTTAGTGGTTCCGTTAAGCTCAGTTGGTGTAAAGCCAGTGGACGGTTGGTGGCAAACAAGTTTAGGTTAAATTTGGACGCTAGAACCAAGACTGTTGGAGAGCTGTTTCATTGAACGACACTGACCTGTTACTGGTGCTTTCGTAACTGCCAAGAGTAGAGCAGGGCCCAGTTTACACTTGTGGTTTTTGAAACGAGACAGCTAAGAAGAACATTAGTTCTATTTTTAGTATTTCCATGTTAAACCAAGTCACTCAGAAACTTAATCACACCACTTTGTGTGTTTTTGTTTGGAAAATCGTTAAAGAAAGATGTTTCCTGAGAGATAAAAACAAGGCTGTAGACTGTAAATTCACTCAACTTCTGTCAGTCACATGATGCAGTTTCACTGCAACAATAGCAAACTGTACCCTGGGACTTCCTTTTATATGAACATGAAGGAAATGTTAAAGTGAAAGTCTGAAATTAACCAGCCAGCAGTACAAGGCCTTTGTGTTATCGTGTTACAGGATGGTAGTACAGTTGTGGAATGTAAACTATTTTGTGGTTGTAGTCAGCCTAAATCATTGACAAGAGTAGTTCAAAGCCATTGATTTCTGATCAAAGAAAAGTTACTTTTCCCACTGTCAAATGTCTGGCCAAATGTGTACACGTACCGAATGGGAGTTGTCATAAAGTTCTCAACCGTAGTGTGCTTTGATTCACTTGCAAATCAAAACGAGCCCAGTACAATGATATGGAAGTCAGCTGTGCCATTTAATCCAAGCATATTGATTAGCTAGAGGAAATGTTGATAGATGTACCAGGAAGAAGTCGGACTGTCTTTAACAGGCTGCTTTGAACAAATCAAACGGATAAGCAAGGATCGTTTCTCTTGTTTTTCAGGAACTAACAGCTGCATTTATATTAAAGTGAAAATAGCCATCATGTGATTGTTACGGTGAAAGTAACAAGTTCCTGTTCATCTTTGCCCACAGTTGTAGCCAAAGTACATCCACCCAGGACACTATGCGAGGTGATTCCAAGGTAAGCTTTATTTGAAGGGTCTTGACATTTTGACTGAAGAATGATTTGAACTGGAGTTGTTCTAACAACTGTTCTTATCACCCTTCAGTTAAGAAATATGAAAGGATCTTGCTTCATAGTGTGTTCGTGAATTGGAGTTTAGTTCCCTTTTCTTTAGTAGTGAATTGATACCGGTGTCAGGATGAAAGTGAAACTGATCAGTTTTAAATCTGAGATCCGGTTCAGGGCTTATTTCATCTCCGGTAATTCCCCCCCACACACACACTCTCAAAGAAGCACGCACACACACAATCCCAGGCTTTTTGATGATCAACTGAAAGTTTACTTTAGAAAATGTAGTGTGGACGCCAAAAGTTCTTCGGGCAGAGGAACACTTCTTTATTTCAAAATGAGGAAGATAATGTCTTATTTCAGTCAACTTTATGTGACATTTTTTGGGAAGTGTTTCCCTGGATGATCAACAGACTCGCACAGAACTAAGACAGATTTTGCTTTTCTATAAAAAGAAGTCCACCATATTGTATCGTTCACACGTCTCACTGAAGTTGTTTGTGACATTCACAAATAAAACCATGTGGTTGCCATATACTCTGAGCTGCCGGAAGAATTTCAGCTGTCAGTGGTCTGTCAATAGAAGGATTTCCCCGGTACTAGTCACTGGCTCTGAATAGGAAATGATGGAGGCTGACCACAGGAACTTGCATACCGATGAGATGGAAGGGTCATGAACCCACGTGACAGATGTTAATGTCCCACCCTCTATCTGGTTGCTCTTGTATTCATAGACGTATTTGAAAACCCTGATTTAAGTGCTCAAGTTCTTGTAAATTTGTTTTTTTCCCATGTTTTTAAAATAATACAAATGCTCAAAAGTTACACTGTATGAAACTTATTACCTCTGAAATCTTCTTTTTTCTCAGTTATGCATTGAATAGTTGTTTTTTCCTGCCAGGTTTTCTCTTTCTGCCCACAATGTTTTCAGGAATTTTTTTCCCTGCATTTACAAGCTTTATCAGCAACAAGTTACGGGCCGAACACATAACTGTCAGGGCATTCAGTGTCACACATCTTAAAGTACCTTTCATTTCTACAAGAGACAGGTTGTTTTCACAAGGGTGCGATTTTTAAGGTTTTGTCTGCTCGGAGTCATTGACCTCGTTTAGTAACAGTGAGTCTACAAAAACAATAGCTGTCCTGAGCACAAATCGTGAAACCACACCCCAGACACAGCTAGGTTAGAATGTTGGAATCGGGAGCCAACATGCTGGGAGAATTGTAATGTTATCCCTGTTCACCTCACGCCAACACATCCACTGACCTTAATTCTCGAACTTTCAGAGAAGTGTCCTGTTTGTAAATGGATCCAAGAGTTATCACCTTCCGAAAGGGATAGTGGGGTCAAAGCTTATCTTTGCAAATGAAAACATCCTGGGGCCTCAGATTTTGTAAGTTATCTCTAAATTACAACAATCAAACCTCAGAAGACTTTTTCACAATGCACAGCGTCCATGGAAGGGGATCTGAGCCATGAAACTACTTTAGTGAACACATTTCAACAAATACAGATGCTCATTGTTTGGTGAAGGTGTCACCAACATGAAGGCTCTCCATTTAAGTTTAAAAGTTGAAAATGTAATTTTGACCACTACCAGTAAAAATGAAGGACCTACCAAAGCCCCTTTGCCAAGCAGCTCTGATCTCAATTTTTGTGTTTTGAACTGCGGATGTTTGTCACTTCTAGGGCTCAGCGAGTTACGGATGTCCAAGGGTTGCATAGCACAATGGTAGAATGTCGCTGCCCTTGAAACAAAGAAAAGTTTTAGTTACAAACACCTGTCGTGTGTGTGGTACACACAGTACGTGCAGGAAACATGGTGGAGACCATGACCAGTTGAAGGAAACTACCCACAAAGAAGTCAAACAGTACACGCAACCTGGTCTGGCTCTGAGCTTCCATCTTTTCATCAAATATTTTTGCAGTGAAGATACGCATGCATTAGAGTGGGTTTGCAGTGAAGAGCGTGGGTTCAGGGAACAAATGTTGATATTATCAACAGCATATTTGTTCACATCATCCTTTGGCTTCTTATTTAAAGCTATGGATGCAGCATAAACAGCCAGTGACTCGGTCACTGTGTCTGCTCAGAAGAACTCCAGTGTTCTGGACACTGATATATCCAAGGGGTTGTATTTAAACCAAAAACATTGATATTAGGTTTCTTATATGCCTTTATCAATTGGTGTTATTTGATAATGGCACTTACAGAAAAACTAACAAACTAAGCAGTAAGACAGAAAGAAACACAACGTTGAGAAAAAGTAGCAGCATAGCAACAGATTGAGGTACTTGAGGGTGGTTGATTTTCAGTTTTTTACAGTTGAATCATCTTTTTTTTTTCTCCCATTTCACAGTTTGTGTGTCAGTTACGGTGGTGATGATCTTGCTAAAAATCTGCTGCAGATGGACCCAAAGAAGAGAATATCAACCACAGATGCCATGAAACATCACTACTTTAGCAACCTGCCAGCCAAAATACATGACCTCCCTGACAGTGAGTACTAAACACATTTCTAGTATTGTTTTCATGACGAGAAACCAGTGAGCAAGTTTGGTATTCCAACTGCGCATGCATACAACAAGAGCTGATTACCAACCAGAGTCGATACCTTCCTGTTGAAATGTGTGAGATAGAAGGTGTGTCTTAAAGTGTACACGGCCCAAACAAATTCTCCTTTCCCATTATATTTTGTTTTATGGAGGTGGCCAACCAGAGTTATAGGTTTGACTTTAAGAACCAGGACGCAAGTCCAAAAGAAAGATTATTTTGTAACTAGAGAGTTTGGTTCAAATAACATCTTGTCACTCAAGACCGTATCTTTTGATCAAGGAACTGTTTCAAACAACATTTTGCAACAGTCAGAAAAAAGGTGCATTCATTGGGCTGCCTACCAGTTTAAAAAGGACAACCCATCAAAAGTATTTTTGTGCTTCTTGCCTGTTTTGCAGTTGCGTCCATTTTCAATGTCCCTGGTGTCAAGTTGGAACCGGAGAAAGAATCCAAATGAACAGTATACATGTAGCTGGCTGCTGAATGTAAGTCCAGCCCTGATTGGTGATTGTATCATCACAACTTGCACGGTGTTAGAAGTATGCTCACACTTTTCACACCTCACCTGCTGCACTGTTACCGAAGTCTACTGCCAGTTCCCACTGTGCTACTTACGGTAGGATCGTCTTGTTACTCCAGCTGGCTTGCTTGAGAACAGACTTGAAGGGATGGAAGAATATGCCGAAGTGTTCTATTCAGATATTTTAGCAGCACACTACTGAAGGCATCATGCTTAGCAACCATGTACTAAACCATCACCACCGTCCATCTGTTAAAAGTTCACGAGTAGAATCAAGGACAAATCCACAGTAGCTGCTGTCGAGGCATGTGTTGTGGCAACACAAAGATATGTCCCGTCAATTTCAAATGGTCTTACTTGGACAAATTCTCAACTCGAGTTAGCCTGACACTGTCTTATGTTGTATTTGATAGAAATGCAAAGCATGTAAAATAAAAGGGAATACTGTGGATTTTTCCTATGGCATTGATTGTTATTGTACTAACAAACGCACCAGTGTTCGTGTCTGTGTTCAGCATTTGAAATCGTGTCATGCCAACACAGGTCAAACCCTCCTTCGCTCGTTTTGGTCGGTTTGTTTCTCCATGTATCCCATTAAGAACTTGACATACAAAAAAATGAACAATTTGCTAGTCAGCCATTTTATTGTAAAAAACCTGCTATTTTGCATGCAACGTTTAACTTAAAGCCAAAGACACCAATACATCCAAGTTTGTGAAAAAAATTATCTAGATAGATAACTTTGAATTATGAGAATTATTACATATTTATTTTCCTGTTTACACCCAGTTCTTTAACACCACTGAGAACCGTGGATTTTTCCATTTGTGACCCGTCATGACAAAATGAGCATAAAGTCGCATTCCGCTCTTTCCTATTTTGAAGGTTCAAAATCATATTGAAGTGGAGGTTAATTTGGGGATTTTGTAATATTTGGAAAGACTAACCTGTCTCCTATTTAATTCCAAATATTTCACAGGATCATATAGTTAAAAATGTCATTTTCACAGCAGTTTTGACAATAGAACGATGCTACCTGGTCTGAAATTTTGAAACAATGTCAGGAACAAAGACGCAAAGCTGCCAGAATAATGTTACATGGTCACCTTATACTTCTACCCTAAGTGTCCCATGTACATGCCATTGGAGAGCTCTTTTTCTGCTGAACTAAAAAAAACAATATCTCAATTTTTGAAAATTCCGACTTACAGCACATTTTGTGGTGACAGGTCACATTTTTATTGGCAAAATCTCCCACCCTACCTGGAAAAGTGCAGTCATATAAACTAGAGTGTTTCCTTTGAGCTACACTTCAACAGGAACGAGGACATGAAACACAAACCAGTGATTTTAATTAAGTTCCCTAGTTTGAATGAGAAGGGTGATTTTATGACTCATGCACTTACTCAAGGCCAGTTCACAAGGAACATCATGCATGTGTTCTGTCATCCCCTTAAAACCAATCACTCGTAAATCTATCACTTGGGAGTATGTGGTGTAATTACAGCTTGTAGTGCCAGACTTGATGTCTAGCCATTTTTGCCAAAGATATTTTACAGAAGTGTGAAATAAATTACCTCATTCTAACCATTTGTATATATGGGATATTGTACTGGTACCACATTAATTTTAAAGTACCTCTATACTTTTTCCAGTGATCCTCCTCAAATCAAGATGCCTAATTCTTCTGTTGATGTGTCTCACTTTTTAAAAAAGTTTTCTCCAAGTTTGATAACTGAAAACGTCTTGACCAAAAAACCTGCAAAATAGTCTAACATCTTAAAACCGTCTGTAGATAATATCGGGAGAGGTCACAGCATTTCTCAATCTCTCCCATGGCAATTTGTCAGCAAATTTGCGAATGGCTTTCTGCACAGTAGAAGTAACTTCAGGTGGCTGCACAATACGTGGCTGCACAATCCTGCTGCTGTTAACTTGTGGTAGCGCCCTCTGGTGATAGCTTGCATGTAGTTGCAAGTACTATTTCCACATGCTGCTGGAAACGAACCAGGAAACATATATTTGGGTACAAGCATTGCAATAGATAGTAATATCTCAGATATGTTATGATATCAGGTTGGAAACCATGATCAAAGTTTTTTTCAGTTTCCAATGTTAACCCCATTTTTTGTTGGGTGCTTTGTTTCTGTTTTAAATCCAGCAGACAGTAGTATAATCTTGCCAGAATCAATGCTAGAAATAATTATTAAATTCCACTTTGGGTATAGTCATATTATTATGTACATCTGAAATTTTGACAGTCTCGGACTTGTCATTAAATTGTAAAAAGGTAAAATAAGGTGGAGGTAAAATTAATTTTTTGAATGAAAAGTACATGTATGTGGTCCTAATAGAAGGCAGTATGTTTGTCCTTTTGTTGTACATAAAGTGTTTCTCATTGGAGAAATACTGTATATACATGTTAAAATAAAAGCGCTCTTATGTTATGAGCACTTTGATTTTCATTTTTTTTTTCTGCACAGTATTACATAGATTGGCATAAAGTGCAACTCTGTGGAACTTTAGTTAATTGCAACTTTTGAACAGATTTCCGAGCATTTATTTTTTTTTTAATTTATAAGCATTGAGCACATGTACTTTAATTTAAAGCACGTCTAGCACCCAAGAGTTAAGGAAGTCATGATTATTCTTATGGACTCCAGTCCACAACTATTCTGCCTTCTGTCAGATGGCTAACTTGGAAGCAATTCGTTTTTCACTGCTGTTCAGTGAAATAAGTTCGTCAAGTGACCCGTGTCCTTAATGGAACAGAGTGCTTTTGTGGGGGGGGGGGGGAGGGGAAGGGGGCAGCATACTTATGTACGCAGTCACCTTCAGAAACCTCTTCCAAGAATTTTGGGAAATGGTTTTCATGTAACAGTATATTTGTAGCTGCTATCTTTCACCACGTATGTGTGGCACATGCACTAAATATTTCAGTTATTTTGATAATTAAAACAAGAAGTTTTGCAATTTTAGAAACCTTTTTACAGTGCTTTTTAAATATAAAGCTTTACTAGTATTCTTTTGACTTGTTGTCTTAAGAAATGCCATTGTGTGAACAAATTGCTGGGGATGTAATATTAAAAAACCTGGACTTACAATGCCCTTAATCAGCCTGCATAGGTTATTGATGGTGCTGGTGGCCATCTTGCAATGTCGAATACAAATTGTTTGTAGTAACAGTAGTTACAATGGCACACTAACCAATGATCACTTTTGTATCCGACAATGTAAGATTGCTGCCAGTTACTTTAGTATCGATACAAGAGCATTGAGAGTTCAGATTTTTTTTAATGTGACGTCCATGCAAATTGCCAGTAAAATTTAGAGGCTTTAATGTTGTGCAATGGACAAATAACTTACTAAATTGCTGTCAAACTGATGCGTATTTCCGTTTGTTATTATTTTGCAGAGGAAAGTATTGTACATATATGAAACTAAAGTTAGTTCACAATGTTTATCAACAGTACAGTGGAGGTGACACTGTTTTTTTATATTAATGTAAATAAAAGATATTTCACTCATGAAATGAACAGGACATGGATGCAGTTATTCTTCAGTTAGATTCCTTGGTAATAATATTTTCCCAGCTTATCCCTTATCATGTGGCAGATCACAAATACTGATGCAGATGCAACCTTGGTGACTTTTCATTAATTTCAAAATAGGACTTGTATTCGGAGTCAGGCACATAAAAAGGGGGAAAGAGAAGGAAGTAAATCCTGGTTTCCCAGATCATGGGCCATTTTACTGTTGCTGAGAATTGGGATGAGACTATTGATGTACAGAATGACAGGGTGCACAATTATTGGCATGTGATACATACCTTATGGCCGAGTTTGGGCGGCTTGTTCCTGTATGTTCACGAATAGTTCGATTTGTTGTTCGCGGGTCGGCCGCTCGAACGCCGGGAACAAACAACTGGTTATCGCTGGTAGTGAGTGACAAGCAACATTCAATATGGCGGCGTCCATGTAGGCTACGTTATTCGATAGTTAATGTTTGGATGGGCTGAATTTTTTTCTATATAAACAGGAACATTCATTTCTGTATTACGGAAAACAATTAATGTTAATTTTGCAAAATATTCCATTTTCTATGGCTTTTGAAGCCATCTCTCTACTTTTGCAGCTGTTAAAAAATCAGAATCTCACAAGTTTTTCTGTGTGTTCCTGTAAAACCCTGACGAGGAGGTGGTGTGTGATCCTGTTCTGAGAACAGTGTTCTTGAGTCATGTTCCCGCCGTTCGAGTGCGAGAACAAGAAACCCTTGTCAAGAACAGGCTGCCCGAACTCGACCTATATGGCTGGGGGCTGTCAAACTTTAAACTAATAACATGTTAAGATAATGGTTGCATGGAACAGGAGAAAAAAAAGCTGATTTTTCCTGTTGTGAATAGGGTGTTGTGATTATGCTTAAACTGTCCCCTCCAGTCTGGAAGTTGTATGGCACATAACTGATCAAATCGCCACCCTGTCTTTGCAAGTCAGATGTCACTTCTTGGATGCTCAATAAAGGTTTATCAGTTGTGTAGTCCCTGATGTCCAAAACAAATCACTTGTCATTTCTTGATAATCTTCATGAATGTTTACAAAAGGGTACTTCCTCGCCCAAGCCCAAGTTGCTGCATAGTTTAAGATGGATGTCCAGTCACTCCAGTGCCAGGGCTATCTGGTCCTTTCATCACCACTGATATTTCAGCAGTCACACGCCTCCCCAGCTCAGCCTGGCTTTAAGGACCAAACCAGCTGGTGGTCAATTTATTATCAACACCCATCCAATGCCCATTCTGGGAATTAGCAGGGATTTCCTGCCCTGTTAGGTATGGGATTGCTGGATGAATTACAACTCCTGTGACCTCTGAGGTCAAATCTGGACCTCAGGGGGTCAGTCAAGTCTTTAGTCCTCCTCCCTTTTTACCCACCTCCTCCCCTGGCCTCAGCTGACTATTTTTCCTTGGTGTCTGGAGGCATAATGAACAGGCTTTCTTTGCTTCGTTAGTGTGGCACATAGGGGAGTGCCCCCCCCTGTAATCCAGCCATTACCCCTTGTCTGCCTGTAATGGTCTTGGTGAGAGAGTCTGGAAAATATTTGGGGGGGGGACTTGGGGCAGCTGGAAAAGCGATAATTCAACTTGACCCCTTGGTGAAAGAACACAGAGACTTTGGCTGATCTAGCTATGCCGGGCTGCACACCCCTCAATCACAGGCTTTGTTTAGCAGGGGTCAACAGAGGTTAAAGATTTATTGATGATCATTCCAAGGGAATGGGACGTCTGGAGGAATGGCTGGCACTGGGACATAATCTGCTTCATTATTAACTTATTTGAACATATCATAAGGTGATGATTTGCCCAGGCATGTAGGCACATTGCGTGAATCATTTGAATTGCAATTGTACTGAGAGATGTGGGGTCGTATGCATGCATTTGCAATCACAGACTCTGACTTGGACTAGTCACTTGTGTTTCTGTGAGAGGGGACGAGTAAACAATCCCGACTGCATCTTCTCAGGAATCACACTTGGTTCTTAGAAGCTCCTGATTCAGTTGGAATATATGGCAAGATCTAAAACTCTGAAAGTTGTCACTGTAAGGCACTGACCAGATTCTCAGCTTTTGTCCTATTTTTAAGATATTTGTAACATCGGGTCATGAGACAGCTTTTGCAGCTAAAGTCTGCAGATAGGGCACCGTAGTTGAAACGTGAAACCTGAAAAGAAGTTTGCGCTGATGCAGTCTGGATTGAAATTTTCAATTCACACTGTGTTTACATACTGTTCAGTGACTGGTGCGTCATTCACAACCCCCCTTCAAGCAAACCCAAAATTTTTAAGCTGAATGAGTTCAGAAAGGGGGGAGGGCAAGATGATTAAAGTGTAGGGATA